ACCTCAGTGGAGACCTCGGTGATGCCAAAGTGTCCCAGGTGGCGATGAAGCACCCTGACGTTCAGTGATTGGATGACCTCCTCGGCGGGGCGGGGCTCGGAGATCCCCAGCCTATCGGAGGACACAAACAGCTCGATACCATTCTTCTTCTCCTGTAAGAGATGTCTGTCAGTCAGGCAGTCAAGTGAACAGCGGGTGAGCAGCGGGTGATCGACTGGCATCTTACATTCAGCTGGTTGATGTGGACGTGGCCCACAGGAACGCCCAGCGCTGCCGCTACACCCTCCCGAAACCACCGAAGAAGACTGACGTTCAGCCTTCTCACATCCACAGCCAGGTACTGAGAGAGAGAGCGAGAGAGCGAGAATTATGACACAAAAAAATAAAATAATGCTCCATTTATTTAAAAGAAACTAATTTTTTGCATCATTCAGTAGGAATTCATAGCAGGCCAAAAATCAAACCTCAGCCATCACAGACCGCCTGATGTCTGCTGGATGCTGTTTCCAAAGTCATGGGGGTAAGGCCTAAACCGGACGAGTTTGTGTCGTTTAATGCAATCATCTCTCCCAAAAAACAAAAAAAACCCACAACAACAACAACAACAACAACAAACATAGCTGCCCTGCGCTTAGATGTATAATTATTGTACCAACAAACCATCTGAAGAATCTAGTTTTGGTGAGTGAAATTCTAGAAACTGTAAAACTATATTTTATGGACGCATTTGCCTGATAACCCCAAAAGTCATAGCAGCCAAAAACTACTGATGCAGCTGTGCTAGGATATTAAATCTAGCCAAAAATATCAAACAGCAAATATCAAAAAAGTCATGCAAAAAACAAAAATGCCAACACTGGAGCTTTACAGCGAGGCCACGACCAGTCCAAGGCCTGAAGCCTGCCGATTACATACTGTAACCCCAGGTTCTGAGAACACGGGTGCAGCCGTCTAACACAAAGAGACCAAAAACATGTCATGCCAGTTTTGCACTGATGGGAGGACAACGTAAAGCAGCTGGGAAAGTTATGCTGATCTGAACTTTGATGCAGTATGATGGATGGGACTACGAATGCGAGAGCAGGACATTTTTAGCTGAAGGCGGTCACCGACACGAGCAGAGCTGGAAACTAAAACTTGGAATTCAGCTGAAAAACACCTTCAGACATCACCTGATTATACAGCGCACCGTTTTCGTGATGTTTTCAGATTTGAAATTATTGCATTGTGAATGTGTGTTTAAAGGGGAGAAAGAGTATTCAGCCAGTCATGCTTTACTACTGTACTCTCTTTTTCTCCTTGGTCTGGCCAAAATAACAAAAATAACAATAAAAAGCAAAAAAGAAAAAAAAGAAAAAAAGAATGACAGCTTTGAACTGAAGGTCAGTCCCGACTCCGACAAATAAAACTGGAAAAGAAAACCTAAATAATCACCATGCTGGATCTCCTGCCTCTCCTTACAGAGGAGAGACTTTTGTTCTGTGGCTTCATCACCAAACAGATCAAATCATCCCTCCATCGCCCATCCTGTTATTTTATCTCTCTGTGCTCTCACCCTCCTCCTCCTGTTTGGCTCCTCTGGTTTTCCCAAAAGCCTCTCAGCTTCCAGAAAAAGTGATATGACAGACGCTAATGAGTCACTGAAGTTTACTGCAATCTGTTTGCAGAGAGAGCCAACAGGAAGAGCTTCTTTGGATGAAGACTGACGAGTACACAGACAAAGAACTGTTTGGTTTAAGTCTCTCATTTCAAAGTAAACTTTATATTTAAGGGAAGTGAAGGTTCAGATTTATTGACTTTAAATCCACTTATCAAATCCAAATCCTCCCAGATCCCTCAATGATCATCTCCAGTTGTTATCATTTGCAAACATTACAGATAGATGCAGTGGGCTCAGTTAACAGCAGTTTATAGACCTGAGCTACTTCAGTAGGGACGGTGGGGCCAGCAGGGCCTTTGTGTGCTGTGGATCAGTTTGACTATGCGGGCAAAAGAAATACTGCTGTCCTTGTCATCTCACACCTGTGCTGAGACACTGCAGAGAGCGACAAGCTGAACACACTCCTAAGTGCTGCCGCTGCCCTAACATCACACTGTGCGTGCTTGTGTATGTGTGTGCATGTGTTTGCGTGTGTGTGTGCGCGCGCGTGTGCGTGCGCTTGTGTGCGCGCGCGTGTGTGTGTATGTGTGCATGCTTGTGTGCGTGTGTATATGTGTGCATGCTTGTGTGCGTGTGTATATGTGTGCATGCTTGTGTGCGTGCGTGTGTATGCTTGTGTGCGTGCGTGTGTATATGTGTGCATGCTTGTGTGCGTGCGTGTGTGTGTATGTGTGCATGCTTGTGTGCATGTGTGCATGCTTGTGTGCGTGCGTGCGTGCGTGCGCGCATGCTTGTGTGTGTGCGCGCATGTGGGAGGTTGTTTACTAATGGCTAAAACAACCTGTTCTGCTGCCACTTAATTCAATATGAGGAACAAAAAGCAGAGGCACACAGCTGATGTTATTATCCAACTGCGTCTGGTTGCAGCTTGTTGTGTTAAACATCTCAAACTGCTCGAGAGACACAAAAACACAAACACGTAACCCACTACTGCAGAACTGGACGCCACTAACCCTCCGATGTCTGCTCTATAAAGGTGAGCAAACTGTGCAAAATACCAAAAAATGCTCAAATTAAAGCAGTTTGTTGAGAAACTCATTTAACTTTTACCAACTCACAAACCAAACCAGATGTTTAGTCATAGATGATAAAGAAAATGAGAAACCTACGAAGCTCGAGTCACCACAAAACAGAGAATCAACGATACAAAACAAATCTGTTTGTTTAAAAAAATGTCAAAGAAACCATCATGTTTATGCCTCAGAAATCAGCTTCACCTGCTGACAAACCAAAGTATTCAGTTTTCTGACGTGAACAGCTACACAAAATGAAAAATCTCAGATTTAAGTTGTTTAAACTTCTTCAGTAATCAAAATAAAATGTTTCTCTGAACAGTTTGCTGAGACTTAGCTTCACAGGCTGAAAATCTCAAAACTCTTACTGGCTCAAATAACCAGAAAAAGAGAAAGAAGAAAAAGATGAATCTTCAAAATTGTAAAAGTTTTGATATTAACAAATTAAAAAGTTCTCAATAAGAACCACTTCATTTTCCTCAGTGCTTTAAAATGCCTGGAATGGTCACCCAGTGAACTAAATACCTTCAGATTATTGACAAACTGTTTCAATGTGAAGAACGACTCATCAGCTGAGTGAAAATTAAGCAGAGAAACGATCAAATACAGAAAGAAGCTCACGGAAGTTCATTCTCAGAAGCAGCTGCAGTCTTAAATGGATGTCAGTGAAAGAGGGAAAAAAACAAGCAAACCACCAACAACACCTACACAACCTTACCGAGCAAACATGCAAACATTGTTGATCCTTGCCGTCTGCCACAGGAAGCTTTTCACTGAATGAACAGACACATACACAGAGGCAGGCGATGCGCCTAGCAGTCAGGGCTCAGGGACTTTTTGCTCCATTTCCTGATCTTGTCATTCCCTGATCTCTCATTGGCTTAGAGGAAGAGAGAGCTCAACCTGCTACCTGATTGGCCGTTGTCCCAGTAATGCCATTATCCCGCTGTGCTTCCTGTCGAGATCAGGTGCTATTTCTGTCCCACACACACACACACACACACACAAATGTTAATAACAGCTAATTAGCTGATAGCCTCCGGTCAGGTGGGAAGGGAATCCAATTTGGTTCAATGAGAAAAATCAGAAAGAGAGGGAGGCTAAAGTAGTGCAGATAAATAATAAAAACAAAAATATTTAAGAGGTGGAGAAGAGGAACAAGAAAAAGTGCAGGAAAAAACAAAAGCAAAAGCAGGAAAGGGAAAAAGGGCAGTAGGGCATTAAAATCAATCAGAGCAGCAGCAATAAGGCAGCTAACTGAGTAGTTGGTTAACAGAGAAGTAATGCAGCTATTTTAAGTAAATAAAAGCCAATTAAGAGTCATCACTGTGGCCTCTGAGGAACTGACAGACTTTTGTGCTCTTTAGGGAGCTAAGTGAGCTGGAGTTATTCCTATAGTCCTGCTGAAAGAAGCATTTAGGAAAACTTTCGTAGAATTAACCCTCAAGTATCGAAAAACTGCAGTTCCCCCAATGTCCACCAGAGGCTTGAGCAGTGAAATATATGGAAGGCTGTTTCTGCCACTTTAAT